CTTCTCTTGATGCAGCCCAGGATACGGGAAACCTTTGCTTTCACAAACTAAATTCTCTGTTAGGCACAGCTGTGCTGACTAAGGTAAGATTGATGGAAACATTTTAACAGAGCTGCTGTTTTGACTGTAGAGGCTGGGGGATTCTTTCTTTCTACAGGACAAGAGCAGGATGGATAGCTTGAGACCATCTACCATGTCTAACTGATTTTAACAAAAGCTTGTAGATCTTTGTGAACTTTGCATCCTATCTGTGAGAAGCAGTCCAGATTTGCTCTCAATTCCAACTTACTATTTCCTATTTAAGAATGACATCTCAAATAGTACATATTTTTTTTTTTAAGCAAATTTAAGGATCATCCAACCTTAACATCAGCAGATCAAGTTCTCCACTTCAGATAATCCTTAATCCTGTTCATGTTTTTTTTTTTTAAACCCATATACAACTGAATCAAGTGACAAAATTATTTTAACAGCTGCAGATAAATATACTGAATTTCAGTCCTTGGATATTCAAACCATGAGAGAGTAACAAGGACTGGTACTGTTCAGTGGAAAGCTTCTCAAGTGTTCTTAGTCTTGGGAATGTGTGACATGCTTTGCTAAGTCATCCAGGACTTCAGAGCCTGATCAACTGCTCTGCTATTGCCATTTTAGTTTTTTGCTAACATAAGCTTACCTGTCTGGAGTTGTTCTTGCTGAAGATCTGATTGTTCTACTTGGTGAGGCTGACTGGAGAAACTCTGGTTGTAACTGGCCTGGTACTGATTTTGCTGCTTAAGGGTTTCTGGCTCATTAACAGGAGGAACGGGTGCATTCATGTTGAATACCTATAATGTTAGAAAAATAGCTCTGGTCCAATTCCTTTTTTACAGTTCCTCAACTCATTGCGTAAAGAAATATGCAAGTCTGACAAATGTGAATAACCAAAGACTATTTTATGTAATTACATGACTGATTCCCATGTTTGTATAACAAAAAACCAAACCAACCCAAAAATGACTACCAAAATAAGGGATTCAGTATTAATTTACTACTTACTGTTTGCATGGATTGGAATGGAGCTGCATTAACATTGATTCCGCTGCTATGCAAAGGTTTGCTAGATCCAGCCTGGAACACTTGTGGCTGGGATGCAGTGGGAAGTGATGATGATGATGGGGTCTGGTCTGCATTCAGTGACATTGAAGCCTAGTAATTAAAATAAATAACACTTTAGCAGTTTTTGAATAATACATAAAATTTAATTTGAAAACTTCACTTTAAAAAAAAAAAAAAAAAAAAGAAGTGACAACACCTCAGGGTTCACCTCAACAAATCAGTATTTTGTACTTCAGCTGAACAGCCTCATTCACAACACCATAATGGGAGAGGAAAAACCTAACAGTCTTCTCCCCCATTAATGTGAAAAAAACTGGACAAACAACTACAAGGGGAAATGAACAAGTTTCTGGGCTAACTTCTAGCCAATGTAAAAAAAATACATCACATTTCCTAAGCCAAGAACCCTGATGCTCATATGCTGATGCTGGTACTTCTAACTAAACAAACAATCTAGTAAACTGAAAGTCTTACTACGAAGGACTTGGATTTACTGATCACAGACAGGCTCAAAATTTTGAAATAGAGCAAAATGAAGTGGCCCTATCAGTAGGTAAGTAAAAATGACAAAGTTGTTTTTACAAAGAAACATAAACTAACATTTGATTACACCTGCAAGAAGAGTCCTTCCCACCCCTGTGAAATCTGACTTGCCTGAATCTGGTCAATTGATTCTTTCTGTGGCCGTTGCTCTGTTGTGTGAGAAGGCTGATACATGGGTTGGGAAGCTGTATATCCCTCACTTGTAGAAGAAACCAAAGGAACCTGACAAAATAAACCCCAAAGCCCCCAGAAGTCAGCTGATGCTCACACACAGTTTTATAAAAAGTATCAGAGAACTCTGGAATGAATGGTACAAGTATGTACACCAGCAAATCTTTACAACTATTACAAATTCAGTGCTTTTTTTTAACGAGTAGAGATTCAACCAGCTCATCTTGATATATATTCTAACATGCCACATCACCCATCCCCTGCCAGATTCTATTCTGTGGGTATTTCTGAATCAGCAGGACGTGTATTTGCTTTTACTGAGAACATCCTTCCCCTCACTTCCTTATGCAACCACAACTCCCATTACAATACAGCTGGGGAAAGACAGAGAGAAATATATAGAAGTTTAAATAAGAGAACTCCAAGTTCAGAGAGAAACAGAGAAGTGCTGGTTTCCACTGGACTGAAAATGCTCCTTTTACAGCCTCTGCTCCCCTACACAGAGTTCAGTGGAAACTTCAGCCAACAAAGCAGAGGACTCTGCATCAAGGCTACTGGGGACTTTAATAGGAAACTGATAATGAACACTCAAAAGGAAAGAGTTAAACTTAACTACTGCTTGCAAGATCCCCAAGGGAATCATTGGCAGCACTGGCTGAAGTAAGGAAAGTAAGAAAAAAAATCCATTGGAGTGCAGAGAACTCTGCCAAAAAATTATTCTACACCTACAAACTAGCAAAACTGCTGAGGGTACTGGCACTTCAGCAGGTACATAGAGAGGAAACTCAAGGGAGAAAAACACATTCCTGTTTCTATACGAGTGACTTAAAACTTGCAGACTTAATCTGCACAAGATAAAGCAAGTTATATCACCATTACTCTGAGATACACAACCTATCTAGATTTTTCTTTTGGTTTTCAAACATCTACAAGGATCAGATTCAGTACTTGAGACCAGCAAAGTCCTTCTGAGATGCCACACATGCTTAATACAAAATCAGGAAGCTCTCTAATCACTAGACAATTCAGTAAGAAACTGATACATCTGAATGTAGAGGTGGATACATCATTTACACATTGCAGAAGCACATTTAAGAGATTCTACTTAAACAGGAACTTCAGGAAAGCTCAACTGAAAACAGCATTAAAACTCATTCTGATTGCTCTACAACTCCAGCATTAAATATTACCCAAGCAAGCAACTGAGACTAATCCTTGACAGAAAAAGTCAAAAATAATAACACAAACTATATAGTTAATTCATTAAATCTGTGTTCTGACACTCACTAGAACAGACACACACTGCCCTTTAACCAAGTAATTTTGGTTTTGGCATTTCTGTCACAAATACACAAAAAAAGCCCAACTTGCTTCTATCTAAATATTACTACACAAGGCTTAACATGAAGGAGAACACTACTAGGCAAAGACTGACATGGCAAATTACTAGTTTATCTTGAACAGAACACACAGAGAAATCTCACATTAAACTGCATGGAGTAGAGGAGGACTACACAGAGCAGCATTCCAGAGTCCTTCCTCTCCATCATGAAAGAAACACTTAAAACTCACCACTGTCACATGGGACATATTTTAAGTGATGGCAACCTAACACACAGGCACAGAGAAGTCAGTTTGTGAAATGAAAATCACATCCACACACTGAATTTGAAGACTGAAGTGAGCTCCACAGACTGAAAGAACTGGTAACTGCCAGGAAGTCCACAATGGACCATTAGAATGAGCACCATGAACTGCAACTGGTTCCATGGTTGTGCCCTTCAGTTTAAGACATCTCTAATTCTAAACACAGTTCCCTCAACAAACCCAGACTGCAACCTTGAACCCAACAGGTTTCCAAACAGGGTAATGCTGGATAAGACTCCATTACAGAAAATATGCAATGTCTGCCTAGCACAAAACCTGTACTTAGGAATGCTCATAAGCGACAACGCTGAAGAGATGAAGATAACCTATTTCCCAAAATCAGAACTTCAGCTTTTTCTTTGGGTTTCTCATAGTTAGGAATTAAATCCTATTGCAACGTAAGTGAAGACTAAAATAAATTTAAAAATCCAAAATACAGCTTAGTAAGCATTTTACCTGTGTAGCTTCTGGTTGCACAGGAACTTGATTAGGCTGGGCAAGTCTTGACTCAGCATGAACTGTAATAAAATAATTTCACTCATTACACATTACAACCAAACCTTTTACAAATAGCATTACCATCTTATCCAATTCAATTATTTGAGCACTGATCACTGAAAAGATGATTATGCCTTTAGCATGGCAAAGCTATACTCAAAATACCAATTAGCATTTCCATCCCAAGTTTATTTTTTCCTGTTGTCCAAAATAACCCAGCAATTTTTGAAAGGCTGAGCAAAACTATATTTTGCCCGTTTGAAAGAGTTTAAAATGTTCCACACTCCCAAGAAAAACCTAGAAGGAAGTGAGAATAAGTCTACAAACAGTATGCTTCAAAAGTACAATCACATTTTGGAGAAAAAAAAAAAACATAGAGATGTAACAATCCCTTTACTACGTAGCAGTAACTGAAGCATCCTTAATTAGATGACTTGCAGGCTTCCCCGATATTTATGTTTAGGATTTACCATTACAAACCTGGAGGGCAAACCATTTGTGGCATGTCCAAATTCTGTGCTGGATTCATGGGCTGTGCAGATACAATGGCAGGATCAAGTGTTTGGTTCTCAAACTCCAGCATAGAGTCCTGAGGAAAAAGTAAATTAAAAAAAAAATCAAATCCAACTTACTGTATTTTAAAAATATTAATGTTCAGACTACAGAAGTGAACAGGTCACAATAAAGGAAGCTTAGTCCACAATTAGTATACAATTGCTGGTCTTACCATACATTTTAAATTAATTTAAGATACTAAAATCTATTCTAGATTTTAAGATTCCAAAATCTATTTATCACAATAAAAATGCAGCCCTTGTGTATGTATTAGAGTGTATCTGACACAAAAATAACTGGAGGGAGATTTTAATAGACAAGGCAGAATAGGAGGCAAAATGCTCTTTATTCGTTATCCTAAATGACTTATGACTTAATTTAGGGTGAGTGTCATTGCAAGAGGCTGCAGAACTCTCTGGTTGTGTGGTTGAAGGACTTTGTAGGATGAAACAAAAAAAAGAACATAAGTCTATGCCTCATTTGTTACCAAAGTGTCTACTCCTCCTCTGTGGAGGAGGAAAGGCTTTTTCTGATGTATGCCATTACCTCCCAACGCGTTTCTACTTGTTCTGACTTTAAAGGTTACAAGAAAACCTTCAAGAATCAACCCAAGAAGTATTTTCTTTATGTGTTGCAGAGGAATTTCATAACATGAAGTTTAGAACTAGCTTACAGAAGGGATATTTTACAGCTGGTCTCACCCAAGCAGAATACACTATGGCACCCAGTGATGCACAGCTTTCTGCCTTCACTGTAAATTCAGTACAAACATGGACATAAAAGCTAAATAACATTCTAATTGTACTTTGACAGCAATACAGGTTTGCAGGCTTCAGATCAGATCTTGCCATACAGTACTATACAGCTGGCAAGACCACTGTATTTTCCAAGCAAACTACAGCAGACTCTTCAAATCAAAACTAAGAGTCAAAAAGTGCTATTTTGTTTCTAGCTTCACAGCACCACCGTGGGTTCATCATACCTGCATGAAGTTATAGGGGCCCTGCATCTGCGCCATAAGGTCCTGTACTCGCTGTCTTCTAACAAGAGGATCTGCTGGAGCCACAGTAGTGAGCGTGTGAGGTTCAGGAACTGGAGGAGATGTAGCTTGTGTCTGTTGCTGCAGTGAATTTACAACCTAACAAGAAACAAGCAAGTGACTGAAATTTCAGTTTAAGGTAACACTGCACAGAAGTGACTCAGTAGTTCTTGAAATTTATGGCTATTTCCTAATTCATTATGGACATAATTACTACAGCGTTCTTGAAAAATACTACATGCCTCTACAGTCATGCCAGTACTTGTGGCCAGCACTTCACAGGATGAGAGAGTTTAGAGACTGTGCTGTATTTGCTTTCCACCTACTCTATTCCACATTAAGAACAGCGACAATAAAAAATTTGTTCAATATTATGGGGATTTTTTTACTTTTTTTTTTTTTACAGCAGGATTTCAGATTGCAATTTATTAACATTTGGAAATGGAAAGAAAAGTCAGGGAAGAGTAAGTTTCAGAAATATGCACACATGGAGAACAATTACTTTCTTGTATCTTTTTGGTAAATGTCAGCAGAGTGAGAATTTATGGGTCTTCTTAACACTTCAAAATGTTAATTTTCATAGCCATGTCTAGACCTCAGTTCTCAAGTGTTATCGTAGCTCGCCGATTTATGATCTCAGAGAACAGCAGGCAGCATTGCATGACAGAAAGATTGAAAGACAGCTCTGTGAGGGGACACCAGAAGCCTAAGCACAACTCAGAGCAGGCAAGAAAGCTCAGATTTACCAGACATATTCCAATACAGCACAGGTGAACAAAGGCATGAGAAACAGCAACATGCTTTCAAACACCACCTTATCAAAGACAGCAGAGCAACCAGGAAAGTTGAACATGAGCATCTAAGAGCATCCAGCATCAAACTGCTTGAAAAAACATAGTTCCAAGGCTGGTCAAGTTGTGCAAAGTAGCATTTTCACACTCCTAACTAGTTTTGCTCTTTCAGCAACTCCCATAATAGAAAGAAAATAACTGTCAATAACTTTGCCCATCACTTCTCTATTCCCTTGAGCTTTTAATTATTAATAATCTTCCAGATAAACAGGTAAGCCTTTAACTTAGTTGCACAGGATTTAAATTAGCATACATACACCTGGAAGTTCCAAATATTTATGTAAAATATCCAGCTTCTTACTAAAACTGCAGAAGACAGATTTTTGCAGAGTAGCCATGACAAGTAACAAAACAGTTCTATTTTAGACCAGTTCTATAAGCACAGGTCTGAACCTTAAACCTGAACTCCCTCTCTCCACCCTCAAAGTCTTTAAAATTCTTTCAACTTCTCAAAGAAACCTACAGCATCTTCCAGTGTGCCTACTCCTTGCACAGGTAATTGCCTTACAAACTCCAATGCCTCCTTCCTTGACCAAATCCCTAGCCACTTA